AAAAAAATCTGAAAAAGTAATAATACGGAAAAAAATCTGAAAAAGTAATAATACGGAAAAAAATCTGAAAAAATAATAATACGGAAAAAAATCTGGAATAATATGGGAAAAAATGCGAATTCACATACGTGGCTTAGTCTTGAATTATACAGGAAAAAATCTGAAAAATAATACGGAAAAAAATCTGGAATAATATGGGAAAAAATGCGAATTCACATACGTGGCTTAGACTTGAATTATACAGGAAAAAATCTGAAAAATAATACGGAAAACAAATCTGAAAAAATAATAATACGGAAAAAATCTGGAATAATATGGGAAAAAATGCAAAAATAGTACGGGAAAAAATTTGAAACATAATACAGCAAAAAATCTGAAAAAGTAATACAGGAAAAAATCTGGAATAATAATATGGGAAAAAATTCCAAAAAAAAGACCCGGGGAAAATTTTGAAAAAATAATGCGGAAAAAATCTGAAAAGTAATATGGAAAAAATCTGAAAAATGAAAGACATAAAATAGAAATTTCTTCTGACATAAATCAAATTCTTGACATTTTTCTAACAGTTATTTTTTCCCCCTACTTAGTAGGACATCTGTTTAAGTAATTCACATTAAAGGTTAAACTTTGTTTAAAAAGTTATTACAGTGAAAAGTGTTCTTCTGTGAATCAAACACATAACTGATTCTTCATGTCCAAGCCAATCTTTTTTGTAGTATGAGTGTTAATGATTCGTTTTCATTAAAATCCTTTTCACAGTGCCTCACTTAGGTTTAGATATTATATTAGGTAACTCTTTTTTCCTTCGTTTCAGATAATCTGCATGCTAGAACCACAGTTTAACAGACTGAAATGGTCTGTTGTAAGATGGGTTAGCCAACTCGTTGTTCTTGGTGTGGGAAGTGTTGGTCTTAAAGCTCTGTCGTCAGCTCTTCTACGGGTTAAAGATGATGTAAGTAAAGACATTCTTCAATAGCTTTAAATAGACAAATAATATATTAGATAATCCCTAGCTATTTGTCAAACAATTCCAAATTGTTGACCTTGGACTCCACTTTAAATTTATAATTGTAGGTTGTTGTTTTTTTTTACAACTTTCCAGAATAACAGATTGAACATCGGTGATTTTAGTAGTTGAAATTTTAAAATTTGATCTTTGTTTGTTTGTTGTTTTTTTGTTTGTAGTATAATTTATACATTGATAACAACTTTCCTTGAAGTTTTGGAGTATAGCTAGTTAGATACTTACTGTTTTCGTATTCAAACTTTGAAGTATGCATAGAAGAAATCCCCTGAAGTATAGCTAATTAAATGTTTTGTTCTTATAAATTATACATAGAAAAAAATCCTCCCCCTGAAATTTTAGAGGAAATTACATTTTTTTTTCAGGCTCATATTTGGAATATTTTAAGATCAAAATTCTCAAACTATAGAGATTTCCACACCATGCTATACACTTGCGCGGTGGAGTTTGACTTCATGGAAAAAGAGGTAAGTGATATTCTATTGAAAGCAAACTATTTAATTATTCATTTATTATTAAATTAATATTATGAGCTTATCTAATTTACGTTCGGTCTAAATACTTGAATGTTTAAATTTGAATTTAGATTAAAAATTTGTAAAATGTCACATTCCTAAAGAATTAATAAAATTATTTTATTACATAAGTATTGGTAAAGTAACTTATTTTAAATGTACTGTACTCTCCAACAACATTTATTATGGTGTACAGTTGTAATGACATAGTTGGTTTTTGTATTATATATACCGTTTGAACTTTGATATACAGTAGTTATTATATATAAAAGAATTTGGAAGGTTTTACATTCAAATTTATCTTAAGTGGTTTTCTAATAAACACTTTGTTTTACTTTTTTTATCATTAAAAGGATTTTTTATGTTTGAATTTCATTTGTATTCCCCTAAGTTAATTTTTGTACGATAAAACAAATTTCCATTAATGTACGAATTGAATGCTTATAACAAAAATATTTGGTAATTTTCTTCTTTTTTTTTATGTTTACCTTGGTTGGATTTTATGTTTGTTTCATCATAGGAAGCAACACAACTCACTATTGAATTGATAAGCTATACTATCAAACAAATTCTGTTTTTACAAACTTTGTTCAATATTCCTTGAACAGAATATCTCATGCTGTATGTACGTCTGTGGTTATGATCCTAAAAATTTAAAGCTTTTGAAATTGAAAAGAGTAAAAACTGAACAGTTATTCTAATTCCAATACAGTTAAAAACAAGTGAACATTACTGTTCTTTGTTAACTTCACAACTAAGATGAATGTTTACGTGCAAGTTGAAGATTAGAAATTATTTTTAAAAAAATCACAACCACAAAATCCAAAAGGAAAACTTTAGTACCCTAATTTTCTGTGGTTAAAACATCTGTCATTGTATCTACGGTTCGAGTAACACATTATAGAAAAGAACACGAGGCAATAAAAAATACACCAGATAGAATGTGATACAACAACGTAGAAGGAAAACTTTAATACCCTAATTTTCTGTGGTTAAAATAGATACAATGACAGACGCGGTTCGAGTAACACATTATAGAAAAGAACACGAGGCAATAAAAAATACACCAGATAGAATGTGATACAACAACGTAGAAGGAAAAAGGGATAGGAATAAATAAATTACATTTGTCTCGGTATTAGTAAAATTAGTCAAAATGAGAAAATTTAAACAATGTAGTTTAATCAGCATGTGTAAGAAAATAATCAGTTGTGAAAATTAAACAGGTAAAATCTAAAAAAAGTTTAATTTGTGAAATAATTAAGTAAAAAAATCATTTATTAATTCTTATTTATTTTATTTGCAGACTCCTCTTCGGTTGGCAAAAACTCTGGTTTTGCCCATGGCATTTCTAGTCATCGTAGTTGTAACAGTACAGGTATAATTTAGATAGCTGTAAACTTATATTAACATCATTTAGTACCGTTTTAAACTGTTAAACTATTAATAATACTTATAGTCCTAATGGGTTAATGTGGATTGTTGAGGTTATACATTTTTCATTAACAGCATTTGTGATTGGTGTACAAAATATGTTGCATGAAAAATATTTCTTAATCATCGTAATTGTTACAGTGGAGTATTCTGTATATTTAATTCTCTCATTTTGTAAGTCTTTTTAACTTTATCGTAGGAGTCCGCTGTCTTTTATCTCGTTATTAAATATGGTTCCCATGGGTCAGGGAGACTGAGAAAAGTCGGTGAAATTTATATTTTGTGTTCCTGACTTGAAAAGCATCAGGGAATTTTATTTTATAGACAAAAACTGGGAAAAGTCTGTGAATTTCATTGGATTTAGTGATGCTTCTGGGACACAGATGGCAGAAATCATTAATTGTCATGGAATATGAAGGCAGCCGTAACAAATTACGTAAATAGTAGCTAGACCTAAATGGAGTGTAAGGACTGTGGACAATACTTTGTCTTGTCTTCCTAAATCTCGTGGTCCTCATACAGTATTGTTTTACTAAAACCTAAACTTTCCTAACAAGATACTATTTAGGGATAGGCTGTTTTCATTAAGTCAGTTATTTTGATCTTACAAATTTTAGTACCTGGTCTAAAACAGTCTTTAGACCAGTATGTTATTTTGTATGGGAAGGATTTGAAAGATGTCAAAATGAACAATTTATTTTGGTAAAGCCTGGCAGGTCAAAGATGGAAAACATCTACACAGTTTTTGTGAGTTATTATCACGAACTGCGATAGTGGTTCATAATAGGGATTGCAAAGCATTGCACAAAACCCTAATAGAACGTTTTGGCAAAAATCCACCTTACACAGTAAAGATTCAGTTCAAACAACACTTTAAGACCTTTACTATTGACTGCTAAGGCTGTACACGTATGCAGAGAAAAAGCACACATGTTAGACTTGCAAGGAAAAGAAAATCCGCTCAAAATGACCCATTTGTAATTTATTATTATTATTCTCTTGCCAGACTGCAACAAAAACAGATTGGTATATTGCACCCAAAACTTTTGTAGAACACTAAATAAGGTACTGTGAAGGTCGTAGGAGTGTTGAAAAATCAATTTGTTTCTTCTATATTTTACATTAGATAAAAAACACCATAATTCTAGTGTAAACGATGTTATCATTAACCCTTGGTGTTAGCTTTCTTACAAATATCTGGTGTTCATTTAAAAAGCTTAAGTACAAGGAGAAACAGGAATTACTAACCAATAACGGATGAACATTAGATGATTGTAACATGTAGATACTCAATACTTTGTACACTATACAATTGGTGTCTTTAGGGAGTCCACCCATATATTATGTATGAAGTGAAGGATTAAAAAATACATACAATATTAGATTTTACCATGCACACATTTGTTAAATAATTTTTTTAAAAGACTAGAAGGTTTATTTAATGCAATGTTTTAAATGTGTGTGTTTTATTTGAAAAGGCTGCTTTTCTACTCGTAACATTTTATATGTGCTTAGGCAATTAAGAGCACCCCAGTGGTGGTGCTCACTAACTGTCATCCCTTTGGTATTCACAGTTATGGACAACTATGTTCAGCTACTCTTGGCATAAAAATACTAACTAAAGAACAAATTTATTGTCCATTCAAAAGATTTGTGAAATAATTGATTTGGTATATGAGAACTGTGAGTTAATGATTTGGTATATGGGAACTGTGAGTTAATTGATTTGGTAAATGGGCAGTTCCCATTTACCAAATCAATTAACTCACAGTTACAGTTCCCATTTACCAAATCAGTTAACTCACAGTTCCCATTTACCAAATCAATTAACTCAAATTGATTTGATATATGAGAACTGAATTAATTGATTTGGCAAATGGGAACTGTGAGTTAATTGATTTGATATATGAGAACTGTGAATTAATTGATTTGATATATGGGAACTGTGAATTAATTGATTTGATAAATGGGAACTGTGAATTAATTGATTTGATATATGGGAACTGTGAATTAATTGATTTGGTATATGGGAACTGTGAATTAATTGATTTGATAAATGGGAACTGTGAATTAATTGATTTGATAAATGGGAACTGTGAATTAATTGATTTAGTAAATGGGAACTGTGAATTAATTGATTTGATATATGAGAACTGAATAATTGATTTGATATATGAGAACTGAATTAATTGATTTGGCAAATGAGAACTGTGAGTTAAATGATTTGGTAAATGGAAACTATGAGTTAATTGATTTGGTAAATGGGAACTGTGAATTAATTGATTTGATATATGAGAACTGTGAATTAATTGATTTAGTAAATGGGAACTGTGAGTTAATTGATTTGGTAAATGGGAACTGTGAATTAATTGATTTGATATATGAGAACTGAATTAATTGATTTGATATATGAGAACTGAATTAATTGATTTGGCAAATGGGAACTGTGAGTTAATTGATTTGGTAAATGGGAACTGTGAATTAATTGGTTTGATGAATGAGAACTGAATTAATTGATTTGGCAAATGGGAACTGTGAGTTAATTGATTTGATATATGAGAACTGTGAGTTAATTGATTTGGTAAATGGGAACTGTGAATTAATTGATTTGATATATGAGAACTGAATTAATTGATTTGGCAAATGGGAACTGTGAGTTAATTGATTTGATATATGGGAACTGTGAGTTAATTGATTTGATATATGGGAACTGTGAGTTAATTGATTTGGTAAATGGGAACTAT